CTATTAAGCCTATAAAATACATACATGAAAACAAAACATTTATTTAATATAAATAACTAGATAAATCAATTTTATATAATGAATGATTTATAGACTTATATCATCTATGATTAAATAAGAGTAAGATTCACTTTTCACACAAACTCTAAAACATCTTGTTTATACAACTACAAGAGATATCAGGGTCTTTCTCAAATACACTATATAATTCAGTGAAACTACATCCCCACGTAAATAAATCTTCTTGTGTTTAAGATTTTCTTTTCAACGTGTCTACTCTTATATGAAAAGTATCTAAATCTGAAAATAAATAATATCTAAACTTAAAATCTATTCCACGGAGTGCAGTTATATATATATTAATACAAACTATTCCACGTAGTTTTTTCAAACTTTTAAGCGTCAAACAGTGAACTGTAAATATGCCTCAGAAATTGTGGGTCAGCCTCCTCAATTTGTGTGATTTGCTTATACTCTTTCTTTTTATCTCTATTTAAAAGAGAAAATATTTTTTAATAACTTTTTCTAATAACTTTTTTTATAAATGATAACTTGTAATTATCTATTTCAAATATACGAATTAAAAAAATAATAATAAATATTTTATTATCAAAAATTATTAACATATTATAATCTTAAAAAAAACAGGTTAACAATATTTTCATAATAATTTTTTCATAATAGTCACGTTATTTTATTTGTTGGTTTGAATTTATTTTTTAAAATAATATTTGACACGATAACTAATCATATTATCAAAATATTGTTATTGGAATTTTCCATTTAAAAGAAATTGGATGAGTTGGGTGTTTAAAGTTTTACTTCACTGAAACAACTTTCTATGTTCACCAATAAGATATCTTTAAACTAGCTAAACTCAATTTCACACAAAAACATTTTCCGGAAATAGTGGGTGAAATTCAATCTTTCATGGTTATTTTTATGACTACAGAACAAGATTAATATAATATCTAATAAATGATTTCCAGAGATAAACAAGCAGGACTCAGGTCCAGAACTTACAAATTTTCCGTATAAGTTCATCACCGTCTCCACAAAAGTCAAGAAAATTTAGAATATAAAAATGTACTAAAAATGTGACGTCATACCTATAATTGTTACATGAACCAACAACACACGTAATTTATAAAAGAATCTTGTTTATCCCGTTTTATGCCATTGTGCTTTTTATCAGACTCTGAGTTGTTTGTCCTTTTTAATTTTAAAAAATAGCAATCGTTATTTCTGTTTTTAAACACAGGGTTAAAAAATGTTTTTATCTCTTAATTTTAAGTATAAATTAAAATTAATTTTTTTTAATTTTGACTTAATTTAGTCTCCCAACTTTATAAATGTGTAGATTTAGTTTTTTTAACTAAAATTTGTTAGATTTATTTATGATTTTAAATGTATTTTTCAATTAATATTAATACAAAAATGTGTCAAACAGTTTAAACAACTCAAATGTTATCTTGAAACTTAATAAAATTTAGTTAAAATAACTAAATTCATACAGTTCTAAAGATGAGATACTAAATTGGTCCAAAGTTTCGAAAATAGACTAATTTTAATTTTCACTTAAAGTTAAGAAATCAAAAACACATTTAACTCTTAAACAAACATATCAGTGAGTCTGATGTCGTCAAATTCAGCAAAATTTGGACATCAATTCTATCGGTTGCCACATAGTTGCCAAAATAACCGTGTCTTAGTTTAAGCATAGTGAGATATTTAACTATGTATATAACTTGTTTTTATAGATTAATGCTTTTAAGAGAACGTAAAACTATTAATTCAAGTACCCCTCCATGATAATATATATTTTAGTTTGTGGAGTTGAGGATAAAAGTTTTCTGAGCTTCCTTCGTTCTACTCTTTACACAGGTTATTCTTCATCCAATACCTTATATATGTTATTGTTCATCCTTTACTTTGTTCGGTCGTACTGAGAGATTACCTATAGAAGGTATTCTCATTTCAAAGTCAATAAAAATCTGACAATTTAACAATAAATATGTATTGAATGAAACCAACCTATCACAATACATCAAATTTATATTTATAAATTTTAAAATGGACTTTAAATTAACACTAGTTTAATTACAATCCGATTTAACCATAATATTATTGCATTAAATCATTATTATAACAATTTTAACACAACAATTTCAAAGTACTCATAGAAGATTGAGTTGTTACTGCTACTCCTTATTTATAAAAAGTCATTTTTAATGCAAGATTTTATTTTGAGATTATTTTTTATAAGTTCCTCTATGTCATTAAAATTAAAAATTTTATTTACTTTTTGCTTTAATAGTAAATTTTAAGTATGTGTAAAGAAATTAATAAAAAAAAAATTTAAATGTGATAATTTTATATTTACAATATTTTAAATTGTTTTTATAAAAAAATCCATTTTTTAAAGCGAAAATCTGATTGCGTTCTTTAAAACATATGAGATTTCTTTCTTTAATACATATAGTAAACAATAGATTTTAAAATCGTGATCATTTGACACTCTTATGTTTCTCTTACATTCAACTCAAGACTGTATAAAATATTATTTTATTATAATCTTCTATTTATACTTATTTTATTATATTAATATTATATTTTATTATAAACTCAATAAACACCAATTGTAAAACAATCTTTTTCCTAGATTTTATTTCTTTAATTTATACCCAAAATTTAACCTATCCCAATATCATACGGGGGAGCATATCACTGGTGCAATATGTTATTTTGTACAATTCTGATCTTAATGTCAAGCATTCATTATTGTTTTATTACGTATGAACAAGGAAAAAGCAAGCTTTTAAATATATTAATTTTTATTAGGTTTAAATTTCGGATATTCCTCGTGTATTTGTATGAGAATATCAAATGAATACTTATATCTACGTTTCAATTGAGTTTTAATATTTGAAAAATTAAATTAATTTTGTTTTATCCATTAAGTGTTGATAGACAGGAATTAAAATTGATTGATGTAGTGTACGACTTATTAAGTGAAATTTATTATTTAATTTGTTATTAAGTATTGTACAGGTATTATATATGTTATATTATTTTATTGTTTAGATTAGAGATTTTTTAGATTAGGAAACTTTTAACGAAAAGGAAGAAGCATTGGATGACCTGGAAATTTCAAGGTCGGAAAATAATAACAGAGCACCTAAAAGATAATTCACAAACAAGATCATAAACCCCAGTTTGCAAGAATAGATTGCAAACCCTAACCCTTAATTCGTGATACTGCAACGAAGAATCAAGCACCACCAACGAGAACCCAAACCCAAAATGCAAGCATCAGAAATCCAAATTCCCTAATTTGAAATCCTAACTTCGAAATTACAAGATCAAATCGCAAGCACAAAAACCCCGAAACGTAACGCACCACCACAAGCTCTGTTACCTTCGAAGACGCTGAGAAACGAAGGCCACCACGCCACAAGACGCAAGCCTCGATCTTCTCCTCCACAACCCTGCCGTCAAACAGGAACGCTCGTGACGGAGACGTGGAGGACAGGCCCTTAACGTCGCGGAGATAGAATCGCGCCTGGGCGGAAAACGCCTCCCCTCCCTGTGTGAACCGAACCAGAACCGAGAACAGGAAGAGGAAGGGAGCCTCCCTCCTTGCGCCACGAACTAGAACTGAGAGAAGGAGAGTTCTCTACAACGTCGAATCAGAAACAGAGAAGAGGGAGAAGAAGAACATCTCCTTGATTGACAAAGAGCCCACCCGAACACCCAACGCAACGCTGTCATCCTCTTCGTGCGTCCAGGTGTGGCGAGCTCGAACTAGGAAGAGAAGGAGGAAGGAAACCCTCACGAGAATTCTATACTGACCCAAAACAGAAGACTAAGGGGAAAAACGTTTCTGATCAGGGCTAATTGAGAGTGAATCAGCTTTTGGAAGACTGAATCAACATTTGGAAGAGAAATAATTAGAAATCCCTAATCTATGAATTTTAATAGGTTTGATTAAATTTAAGTTCCTGATAATTTAAATCCCCTCTCGCCGGCAACGGCAACGTCATGTGACCCCATGGTTCTTCAAACCTCGTACACCCCAGAATCCGAAGCCGACTTCGACTATGTAGAAGATGACGAAGACTTTAATTTCCTAACATTTTTAATTAAATTTTGTGCGACATCATAATTGTTCATTTAAAAAAATTTTACGTCAACAAATTTTAACACCGTTTGTTAATACTTAACGAACAAGATAAAATTCACTCAATTTTTCAAAGAGTCAATTAAGACTGATACAAATACGAAGATATAACTTCGTATTCTCGTGTATAAATATGAATAGTATCCGAGAGTTTAAACCTTTTTATTAATACTTCGTATTTTTCTTAAAACATAACTGCAATAATGCAATAAGTACAGAGAAAAGTTAAATATTTCAGAAAAAATATTAAATAAAAAGTAATTAACTTTGTTACTATAAATGAGAAGACAAAACATCTTCCTCGGTCCAAAGATTCTTTCCTCTGAATCAAAACTTGCATCCATGAACAGCACTCGCTCTCGTTCCCGGCCCGAGTATATCCCGGGCCATATTCCGGACCCTTCCTACGTCCGCATATTAGACACCACCCTCCGAGACGGCGAGCAAGCCCCCGGCGCTGCCATGACCGCAGAGCAGAAGCTGAGGATAGCGCGGCAGCTGGCGAAGCTGGGCGTGGACGTGATCGATGCGGGGTTCCCGTCTGCATCACAGGAGGACTTCAACGCCGTAAAGATGATAGCGGAGGAAGTTGGGAAGAAGTTCGACGATGATGAGTACGTTCCGGTGATTGTTGCAATATGCAGGTGCAATGAGAAGGACATTAGGACTGCATGGGAGGCTGTGAAGGAGGCGAAGAGGCCGAGGCTTATGCCCTTCATCGCCACCAGCCCCATTCACATGGAGTACAAGCTCCGAAAGACCAAACAAGAGGTTCTACAAATAGCTCGCCACATGGTCACTTTTGCTCGCAGTTTGGGTTGTCGTGACATCCAGTTCGCTGCTGAGGATGCAGCCAGGTTCCTCTCATCTCCTTTCTCTTTCCATATGGAAAAAGTTAGTTTCACACAGATTTAAAAAAAGAACATTAATTTGATACTACTTTTAATAATATAATAATATATATTATGATTTTAAATTAAATAATAATATAATTATAATTGAAATATTATTATTTGACAGTGTAAAATGAGTGTAATATGTTGTTTTCTACTCGTAATAATATTTTGATACACGCAAATTTATGTAATAAAATAATATTTTAATATACACAAATTTAAGTAACAATAGAATTATATATTTTTATATTTACTTTACATATAATAATATAATTTAAAGTATAAAATAAAAAAGAAATATGAAATAAATGTGAAAAATTATGTGTTCCAAAATATTATTTTTTCATAAATCTTTTACAGATCTTTTATTATTATTTTTATAAATATGTGTCAAATAAATGGCATATATATTATATATGTTTCTAGAGTACAGAGAAACCTAATTCCAAAAAAATCCAAAATTTAAATATGTGGATGATAGCGGTTAACCGAGTAATAATAGATAAATGAAATTAAATTAAAATAGATAATTATGATAAGGGTATTGTACATACCAATTCTAAAGAAGTCCACTGCAATTTAAAAGTACCCCCGATGCTTTAAAAACTAAAATACATTTTTTGAAATATCTTTTAAAAATAAAAATAAAAATATATGATAAAAATAAATATGTTATAACGTTAAATTATATATATATATATATCGGTCCAATTATAGAACAACTTCTATTAATTAGGTCACAACATTATCAATATTAAGCACACAATTCAATTATAGAAAGTATAAATATGTTATGTAAAGTCCTGCACATTTCTAAGATAGTATATTTCAAAATAAGGATGGTCTATCAACAAAGAAAAATGATAATTTGATACACCGAATTTTTTATTAAATGATATACATTAACAAAATATACATTTGTATTAAATGATATCAATAACCAAACTTCAGTTGAATGAAAGGAAAAAAAAAATAGTATAAGAGTGTTGCTTCTCTAATGTTCCTGTATTATCCTTTTTTTTTCATGAAAACATTATCAAGGCACATGGATATCACAACCACATCCAACAATACACAATATAAGCTACAAAGAATTTAAATCGTACCAAATTAAAAAAAAAAAAACTTATACATCTCTTCATAACTCATACGTCAAACTAAAATCATCAAACATCTAAACAACAATCACTAGTACAAATTTTTCTTTTAAACTCGTACTATATACCTCATTTTAAACCTAACCGTTGCCTATCACAAGACGATGGCAGTTTCGTAATAAATCGGACCTTATAGGCCTCGGTTGTATGTGAAACCGGTGCAGAACACATATATGACCTCGGTTGCATGCAGAACCGAAGCCGAAATGGTGTCTAAAAAGTTGACAAATTTCTGAGCAGGTGATGCTACCTCGGTTTCATACAGAACCGAGGCATAAAGCCTTCATTTTAAGCATCAGTCAGCACTGACCCGGTGTCCAAACACTCTTAGGCTTCGATGCTTTCCTAACCGAAGCATATATTCTTCGCGTTGTGCTTCAAATTTCAGAGTTTGCTCATTTCTTCTCGCGCTATGCTTCTTATTTCTCTTCGCGTCGCCGCTGTTCTCCCAAGGGCTGCCTCCACCAGCGTCACCGCTGTTCTCCCAAGGGCTGCCTCCACCAGCGTCGCCGCTTCGCTTCGTCCGTCGCCGCTTCCCTTCGTCTGTCGTCGCTGTCGTCCATTGCTTCTTCGGTTCTTCTTCTTCGCGTTGTTGCCGTCCATTTCTTCTTCGTTGTTCTTTAGTTTAGATCCGAAAAGGGTTCGTCCCTTATTTCTTGTTTAGATCTGTAAAGGGGTGTTCATCCTTCTTCCCTGTTTAGATCTGTGCACAATGGGGCGAGATTATCTTCTCACTGAGAGACCCAACTTTGGGGCAGCACCACCAGCGGTCTCGCGCAAGCCAAAGACGGAGGCGCGGCGAAGGCGCAAGGGCGCAATGGTCGTTCCTTTTCTTGCGGCAGGGCGCTGGAGGGAGGCTTCCTTCCTCTTCTCTGTTCCGATTCGTCTAGGTTTTAAATTTCAATTTTTGGATTTTTGATTGGAGTTTCTTCTTGTTCCCTGTTGAATTTTTGGATTTTTGGTTTTCTACTTATGTTTCGGGAGAAGAAGGAATATCCGGGGGCGGAAGGGGCGGTGGGGTGAGTGGCGGCAGAGCTAAGACCTCCAGGAACAGAGGAACAGAGGTTGGTGGAGAATCCTTCTTGTTTCACTGAAAACGTGGAATTGCGTTGTTGTGTTGGTAGCTCTGAAAGTGGGAAGGTGAAATGATGCTGGTGGCAGTGGAAGATGGATGTCTGCTTATGCATAAGAACATACATCAAGAACATCCTAAAGGTTAAAAAAATTAAAAATCAAACAAGTTACTACCTCTGTTACGTAAAAACCGAGGCATAAATCTTGTTCTTTTTAACTCAGTTCACAACCGAGGCATAAAACCTACCCATTTTTAC